CATTTCTGTTACTTTTCACGTGACCTTGGATCGGGTAAGGATCGTCACCCCGATTCGGGCACCCGTGACCCCAAAAATCGGGCTCACAATAGCAATAAAAATGCAAAACAAGGTATGGTCTCATATAAAATTACTTTGATGGTTAACATTAATTTTTTGGAATACTAGAGTTAGGCCTAGTGATACAAATCGAAGTCTAAATTAATCGATTAGTTGGTTAGTTGACAACTAATCAACTGAATTTTTTAGACACCAACTAATCGATTAGTTCAACTAATCGACTAAAGAATTAAATGATTAGTTGTAAAGAATCAATTGAAAAATCATTTATTTACGTAATGAATTGATTGCAACTAATTGATTAATCGATCAGTTGCAACTAATCGATTAATCGATCAATTGCAACCAACTAAAAAAATAATGACCAACTAATCGATTGAAAAAATTTTGCCGACTTGTAACACTAAGTTAGGCTTGTTTAAATGTCATCAGTAATAAATAATTAAAATGATCACTTTATGTAAAAATACATACGTTGTTTAATATTATGTGATATTTAAGCATACCTGGACCTAATGTTCAAAATTAAATATTATAAATTGTTTTCTATTTATTAAAACCAAGCTTATATGTCAAATTTAAAATTCAGATCGTTATAAATCATTGGAAATTAAACTTGATATTAATTATTCGAAGCGTAGCGAGGACTCTATGGTAGAGCAATTGACATGATTTTGTGTTGGATTCCAGTCATGCTATCAAATAATTGCCGATAATCAATACTTATATTTTTGGCTTCAGACATTAATAGTACCTGTTTTCCTAGTACAAATTATATTATTTATCTCTTGTAAAAGTTACATGAAATCGCTGGTGCGATAGTTTCACCATTTCATGCTAAATACGCATTTTTTTTACACTATATATGAATTGAAATCCCTATTTTTTTAAATAGACCTTATTCATATAAATATTTTCCATTATTCTAACTTAATATTTTAATATTTTAGATTTTTGAACGACGCTTGGTTTGTATTTGTTGATAAGAAAATACCGTAAAAACTCGAAATAACGCACAGGGGTGAAATTACAAATCTCGGCCTAAGTTAAGCTTAATTCGGGCCGAACCTCGAAATAACGCCCATGGTCGTTACTTCGTAAGTTGATATATTATTGTATTTTAATTTTAGTCACTGTAAATATAAATTTTGATTCAATTGTAAGCTTAAATTATTTTAGATAAAAAAAATCAACTGAGTATTTAGAATTTGAATATAATTGTAAGGATGAATTTTAGAGTAGAAAAAAAAATCAAATTAGTGCATGAATATTTCAAAAAATTAGCAGATTTGAAAGGTTTCGCTGAAAATTATAAATTATAAAGAATAGTTCCCATGCAGGTTATATTGGCACTATGCCAGGCATTAATGCCTTATGTCATGCCCATGCCTATAAGCTATATCACCCTAAAAAATTTCTCCGACTATGTGATATTATTAAAAAATTTGGTTCGCAATTAGTTTAGGGTTATGGCCCCATCAGGTGGTTAATGTACAGTTTAAAGGATCATAGTTATAGTGAAATTTCACGAGAAATTTATTTGTTAGTACGCAGAAGGCACTTTCGTAGGCGAATTTTTGAGCCACGAGAGTTTGTTGTTTTGATTTTTTTGGCTTTGTTGCGTTACACGAGATCATGAAATCTGATTGGCCAGCGAAAATTTTTTGACTAGTGATTTATCTGCTAGTCCTATAAGCATAAAAATACTAGGCACACTTATAGGCATGGGCACAAATGTCAGGCACTATAATAGGAGGCATTAAGTGCTAGGGGCAATTAATTGATTGATTTGTGGCGAAGTCACAATGAGTCAAGTTTTAGTGTGATGAATTATATGCGTGACAAATAAGAGTTCACTATTACGATTTATTAGTAATTCTTATTTTTCACATAATGTTTCATCGCAACCATGTGGCAAATGTTATTAATTGGGTTTCAATTAATTTTATGATAATTTTAATTGACTTTAGCACGTCCGTAATCTGTGACAGGTTAAGCTACTAATTTCAATCACCGCCTAACTATATTCCCAGTGTAAGACTTGACTGTCAAAAAAATACCTAAAGTTAAAATTTAAAACCTTACAAATTCAAAAGTTGTCTTTTGATATTAACTAAACAAACATTTATATAAAAAAAAAAACTTTTAATTTTAAAATTAAAATAACGAATAATATAAATATTCCTCTAGTACATTATAATAACTTTAAGCAAAGCAAAGCAAACAATATTTCGTTTCTTTAACCGTGTTAATTGTTCAACACATTCTTACTTAAATAATGTTTTTTTTACTTGATTCTTACCTTTTCAATTAAAAGAGCTGAATTCTCCTTTCGTCCATATCATTCGTAAACTCCTATTTTCACATCACTTTTGATTGAACAGTCGCGACTAAAATCATAAAGAAAAATATTCGGAAGATTTTATTTTTGTTACATTATACCTGTATACGAATCTTTGAATTTATCTTCGTATTTTGAAAGATTGAGTTAAAAAAACTAAAAATGAAGTGATGCCGAAAATGTTCTTTTTCATTCCTTAATTCTGTTTTATATAAGGTTTTTTTTAAAAAATATATATAACCTCGAGGCATTTGAAGGACCTTTTATATTAATTTTTTTTTTATAAACTTTATTAAAAAATTGGTTCTTTTTTAAGTCTTATTAGATGTCGATAGGGTTATCTAAATTTTAATTTGCACAATTTACTTAGATAAAAAAAAATTTAATTTATAAATAGCTTTTTCATCATGATTTAAGGCATAATCGAACTGCAGTTAAAATCAATGGCTTAACCTTTCACAGATTACGGATGCACAATTTTATACACACAATGTTGAAGAAAATTTACTGTATCACGATATTTTTGCCAGCAATGTGCATTATTGGAAAGATGGTCTTAAAGTTAGAAAAAGATGTTAATAAAGAATTTATTAGATTAAATGCAATAATAATTATCTGATGCTATCGAACTTTGTAAAGATCAAATTTTTGCAAAAGCTAGAGGCAGTCAGTAAAAATGCACAAAATAATCTTTTTTTTTTAAAAAAAAAAAAAATTTTAATAAATAATACCTCAACAAAAACTTAACCAAATTTTATAAAAAATAAAATTCTAACTCGAAAATTTTTTCTATTAAATTTCTGTTAAGTTAATTCAGTTTTGAAAAAAATTTACTTAAAAATTGGTACGTTTTTACCTACATTCAGGTATAAATGTGCATTAATTTATCTGTTAAAATTATATTGTTTAAAAATGATTTAAACATTGAAAGTTGAGAATAATCCTTTGGTTACCTCATTAGTTTAAAGATAACAGTGACTGCGTGATATTCGAACTAAATATTTAGACTTTTACGACTTCTCATTCATCTAGATTCGCGAGGCCTATCATGCGAATAGATCTGGAAATAATAACGCACCAACGATTTGTTAAGTTAATGAATTCAAGAAGATAACTCGACTATCTTCTGATGGTTCACACTTTGAAAAAGAAACAAACGAATTAGTTGATTTCTTCGTTTGGAAAAAAAATATGGAATACTAGTTATATTGAAATGATGAATGAAATAATTGACGAACGTAGTAGCGGTGCGATTATCAAATTGGAGGCTATGAATCTGCACAAGAAAATCCTTATAAGCACTTGTAAACTTCATATAAAAAAAAATCACGTCAATCATCCTCTATATTCTCAAAAGAATCAATTGCCGTTTCTCTTTTTTTAAAAGAAATCACCTTAATCTTTTTTTTTTTTAAAAAAAAGTAATGAAATTATGCATGACTAACAAATAGTTTATAATCATTAAAACTTTACAAACATAAGTCAGCTAGAATTTGGTCCTTCGAGAGTCGCAGGAAAATTTTTTATGATAAAGTGATACAAGATTGCAGATTGTATGACACAAGAATTGACAGATATATAAAAGGGTAGATCTAACTTGAATTCAGACAACGATAGGAAAATTTACCTAGTACAGTAGTATGAATACATTCTTAGATATTGTTAAAAAGTGTGATAATTTTCCATACCCGGATGAATATGATGAAGAAAATTTGATGCACAATGTAGTGCCATTGCTATTAAATAATGTTAAAATAGGACTTATATACAAGACAACGATTCCAGTGTTAAAAAAATATAATGAACAACATAAAAAACCTTGTCCTTTCATCATTGAAGAGACGTTTGTTACATTTGCATCGCATTTGAATACATTTGAGGAACTAACGCAAGCAATAAAAAATCTCTTGGAAGTATGGAGAGAGGAAAAAGCTTTTCCAGCATTAGAAGGTGAGATAAAAGGATATAAGAAAATAAACCTTTATTTAAAATAAACTTTAATCAAATAATTTTTTAAAGGATGGCGTGATGAACTGTACCCAGTTTATGGACCTTCTAATTTAGCATTTGTTATGGAAAGATCAGGGACCCCAATTTTTGGACTATTAACATTTGGTATACATTTAAGTGCATATGTTAGAACTTCAGAAGGAAAACTTAAAATGTGGATTGCTAAACGCTCAACAACAAAATCTACATGGCCAGGTCGATTAGATAATACAGTAGCAGGAGGAATATCATATAAATTAACAGTCAAAGAAACGGTAATCAAAGAGGCAATGGAAGAAGCTAGTTTACCAGAAGAGATTGCAGAAAAGGCAGTACCAGTTGGTGCAATTACATATTTTATAGTAACAAAGAACGGATTACAGCCTGAAGTTGAGTAAGTATATCAGAAAATCTTACTAATAACTAATACTGGATTAATATTAATAAAAATATTTCATTAAAACATAGGTATGTGTATGATCTTGAACTTCCCATTGACGTGAAACCCAAACCACTTGATGGAGAAGTTGAATGTTTTTATTTATGGGATATAGATGAGGTATATTAGAGTTCCAATCCAGATAAATCCGTCATCCATTTACTACTGATGTCTGACAGATATTCGAATAATTATCCGGATATCAATAGTAAAACATAAATTCAGATCTGGATATCTAATAGATAAATGGATGAACGGATAATGGATATAACCATTTTTATTCAAATTATACATGACGAATTATGGCGAATTGGTATTAAATTATTATTATGGATTTGTATTTTTCAAGGTTAAAAAACGTATTCTTGCTGATGAATTCAAACCTAATTGTGCATTGGGTAAGTATTTACTGAAATTTTTCCATTCCTTTTCTCTCTTTGTATTGTTTAATCATTAATTACTTTCATTTTTTCTTAATGTATCAAAATAGTGGTAATTGATTTTATGATTCGTCATTCTATCATTACTCCGGAAAATGAACCAGCATATCTTGAGATTTTAAGTAGACTTCATAGACGACATGAATTTCCCGCACCATCATTTTAAGAATACAGTAATAATAGTTCATTATTACCTTTAATAAAATTGATTTTTAATTTTAAAATGTTTTTGAATATATCACATTTTTTATATCCTATATTCCCAGATGACGTCGATAATACTATCAGTATAAATATATATATTTAAAATTTCTATTAAAGAAAACTTTGGCTAGAAAGTTTTATTCGAAATAGCCTAAGCGCTATGCCAAAACGACTTACTATTATTGAGGGTATCATCTAGAGCTGTGAATCGATTCTAAAAATTAAAAACGATGATCGAATCCCAAAATCGTTTTAGAATCAAAGATCGAATTTTAAATCTATTGATATTAAATGCACGCTTAAATTCGAGTCCAAATATATACATAACCTCTATAAATACATTTTTTCTTATTGTTCTCTAAGTAAATGTCATTAAAGTTCAGTCTCATGAGTGCGCACTTATGAAGGTTTTACTGTATAAAAAGTAATAAATATAGCTGTAACTAAAATAATATTTTTTTGTTTATTAAAGTGAAGTAAAAATAGTTTTCAAGTAAAAAAAAGTAAAATTTAGCAAGGAATTTCCTGTTAGAACCAAAAGAGTATTTAATATACTTCTGATTGTGTTACATTAAATCTGATCTATAAAATTGATTGATTTTTGAGATGTGGCTATAAATATATTACATTAAATTATAATATGCTTTAACTAAACAATGTTTAATTTGGTAACATAAACAAAGAAATAAGTAATGATATAATATATATATATATATTATGTCTCAGATTAATGCCTGTTGGTAAATTACACTTCAAAGGAACTGGTTTTCAGAAAAATCTGCTGGTCAAGTCACATGTGTAACAAATAAATATTATTCAGAATTAGATCATCAAATCTGAGAAATGTTTAAAGCAAAGATAACTTATATTTAATAATGTTTCAATTAATTTTAGGGTTAGAACTTCTTATATCAGATTAGTTCAGTTTTAAATAATTATTTATATACAAAATTGTCATTTAAAAAATTTTAATTAACTTAACAAGGCAGATTTAGACTGCTGCTTTTTGCTTTTTTTTGGTATTAAGATGTAGCATTGTTATTATCTTTATTTGTAGTTATTAAGTAGTAACTACATGGAGTTACTGAATATAAAAAGAAGTTCTATATATGCTATAGCTAAGACCAACATTTGTAGTTAGAGTTAATTGTCAAAATGCTAACTATAAAACTATAATTTTAAATATTAAAAATGTTATATGCAAAAATAAGAATTCAAATATATTTATTTGTAGTTTAAACCTACTAAAGTGTCTAAGACTCATCTAGATTAGTTGAAATTTTTTAAATAATATTTATTAGTTTAGTATATACTAGTAAGCTATTCATAGATTTTACTAACTATTTATACTATCAAAAATTAATTACATTGTTAAAAAAAAAAAAAATAAGATAAATTAAATAAGAAATAAAATATAATTAAAAAGATAAAGTGCAGTATTAATTAAATAAGCAAATAGATAAAGAGAGTTAATAGAGCTATAAAAGTGTAGCTAAAGAAAGTAATATAATTTGAATAGGTAAATAGATAAGAAAAAGTTAATAAAAATATAAAAATATAGCTAGAAAAAAAGGCTATCATTAAGTTTATCAATGATTTTAAATATATTGAAAGTATAAATAAAATTAGTTTCTAATATAGTAGATATAACAATATTAAGTTTTTTAATAATATATTAGTTTGTTTAATTAAAATATAACTTTTTTTTTAATTAACAATACTGTTCACAGCTCTATATTCTTAACCTTTACTAATCCACCTATACTATTACCTCAAACTTTTATTAATATTTCAAATATTAAGTCATCAAAAAAAATAATATTTATTCTCTTTACATTGATAATTATGAAATTTATATACTTATCAATATACTATAACAAACTTCTCCACTACTTATACCAACTCAAATTCTAATTATATACATTCCTGAAATGGAAATACAAATAATACAAAAATACATATCATTTTCCAATTACCAAAACCAACTCATCAAATTATTTTTATTACCAAAAAATCTTTCAAACAATACTTATTTCTATACAGATGTTTCAGTTATTATTAGTCAAACATTACATCTTAAAATTGAAATTAGATGGATTTCTGAACACAATATCTAAATCAAATTTAATTGTTTTATTTCTTTATATCCTGACTCTAACTGAGCAGAACTTGAAGCAATAATATATCTTCTCCTTATCTTACCAATAAATTCACAAAATAATATATATTTGGACAATCTTTTTGCACTTAAAAATATTCAATTATTTTCATCATTACATAAATTCTCTTATATAAAAAACAGGAATATTCTATTCATCATTCACCATCTTATTAAAACAATATTAACAAAATTATAAATGCAAAATATTTCGAAAGATTTGCATAGTATCAAAATTTCAAAATAATGCAAAAAATATTTCGAAATTTTTGTGAAATGCAAAATATTTTGAAAAATTATGAAATAAATTTTAAAATTATTGCACTATGCAAATTCTTTTAAAATATTGTGAAATAATTTTTTCAAAATTATTATACAGTGAAAATATTTCGAAATATAGAAAAAAAATTATCTAAATATGTGAAGGGCAAATAAGGTAAAATAAATTTAAAAATTATTAGAAGAATGTAAAATATTTCGAAATATTTAGAAATAATTTAAATATTTCAAACTTTATTAAAATAAAAAATAATAATAGAATTATATTTAAT